TTGGCATGTGCATGGTGCATATGGGCATGTGCATGTGCATATGTATTTGTATGTGTATATGTATGTACATGGGCATGCAGAGGGAGAGTGTGTGTTCATACACACGTGTTTGCACATGTCTATATATATATATATATATATAGATAGATGGATAGATACATACATATGCAGACCTGGATTTCTGTAGCTTTGTACATAGACAGACAATACACTTGAAGGGAGATTGGCAGCTAGTTATACAGATTATCTGCATTTCATTGAGACTTGTGTTTGAGGCTTGTGCTTTTTAAGCATATCTAAGGGTTCCCATATTCGCGGAGAAGGCAAAGATCCTTGTGCAAGCATCACTGTTTGGGGCGATTGTCTGCAATGACGAATGATGCCGGCTGTCAGCATTTCTGGGTGGGGCGCGCTTCTTCGTCTATTGTTCGATGTTTGAAGGTTTGTCTTGGCCGGAGGTCAGTTTTGTAGAGGTCTCGAGTTCAAGGCTTGCAGCGGGGCTTCGTGATAGTTGAACTTTCAATTCCGTACACCCTGGACTAGATAAGGCACCCCCCCCCAAAGCCGACACGGGACATCCCCGTACAAGGCTATCCTAATGAAAGAGGTCGGGATGATTTGCAATTAAGATACTATCCAATTGCATCCCTCTTAACTTGTGCGCCCTAATTGGAAGATCTCGAGCGGGAGGTCCGGTCGGTTCCGCTCGGAGGGCTTCGCCGCCGCGACGGCACACAGAGTCGCTGGACGGTGCCCAATCGAAGTTTTCAGGTTTGGTTACGGGTTGCCTATGGCTGTACTTACATATAGGTTAAGAGCAGCCATAGAATATGGAACACAGTAAACCATTGCTTAGGAAGCTGGAGCGCTCGGGTCTCAAGCTTCCTACAAGGCACATGGGGGAGAATAGTTGACACCACACAATTCGTTGTCTGTGCGAGCGAGCAGAATCGTCCTTTCCTCAGGTTCTTGAATGGCCCACTGGGCTTACACACACGTAATGACTAACTACTGCATGATCCTCTTCGCACAGGAATCCCACCCTAGGGTCCACCATCATCATCCAAGTATGAATGGCGATTGATGGTTTTGCTTTCCTCATGGTCAGTGATGGGGATTGATTCCAGGGCCCAGCATCTTCACCAGAAAGTGCAGACTTTGCTTGTAACTTGTGTCAGCGCCGAAAAACTGACCACACCCAGCGCATTCACTAGAGCAAGGGTGTTCTGGGTAAACATGTCTTCATTAAGGGAAAGCGCTGGGATACCACACTGCCCCAATCAAGCTGAGTCTAAGGTTTGACCGTTCCATTGTGGGTTTTGTATGCAGGGCCGCTGCTTTCGCACGCGCCGTTGGAAGATCTCTTCGCCGGATCCGCAGCATTCCTGAGTTGATTTGCAGCCTTATTACCTCTAAGCGTGCCAGTCGGCACGAATTTAGACTTTGGCGCACACTGCATCATCAGAGTGGCGTTCAAGACCGGGACATATGAAACGAGCATCATCAAGTCTCATCCTGGACTCATGCCTCTGTTTACAGGCTTCAAAGGCGATGCTCACATGGATCGCCGTTCCCCGCACGCCACCTTTGGCCCAGTTATCTGCTCAGTTCTTCTTTCTTGATAGTAAACTTCATCTCTTACAGGTTCCCGAACAGAGGGGGCAGTCTACATGTACTTCTTCAGTCCCACCACTGCCACTTGTGACCAAACACACATGTCAAGACGCTCGAGTACTTGCAAGAAACTTAGACTCTTAGAGGGGCACCACCGCAGCGACTCTTGGTTTCTGTCAGCAAGCCATGGGCGCGATTTGTACGGTGGAGCAGGCCGAAGAGCTGGGAGCCCAGAGATCAGAAAGAACTGTCCGTGCTCAGACAAGCTTGCATCCAAATTTGATGTGGTGGTGGGCGGAGTCGGAAGTAGGTGCAGTGGTCGTGCGAAACATTATGGACCATCAAGAGCACCGTTGCTGAGGAAGGGATCCATGGCCCGAGCCTCGGTGCATCTCAGCGAGGAGGCTATCATTCGTGCCCGCAGGAACAGAGAGCCAAACGAACCAATTACGCTTCCAACTAGGCTGCCACACTACTTACGAGCATTCGGTTAGGCTTTCGCAACATGAGAACGGGTGTGATGGTCTGCAAACGTCCAGTCATGTTGTAAAGCACGTCGAAGTGCTCCGTTCCAATGGCTGCCATAATTCTCGGAATCCAGCTGTTTAACTGCCGAGGAGCTTGCAGCCGATTGCAGCCTCTTCTGCATGACCTTCCGTAGCGAGCATCGAGTCGGCCATCATCAGGTCTTCACGCCAAGCTGCAAGGCCAATGACTGCAAAGCCGAAGAGGCCGTGAAACCCCGAATGTCAGCATCGCCTTGTTGGGCAAACTGCTTCCCATGTAAAGGTTTGGTGACAACCTCCTTGTTGATCATCTTCAGCACTTTTTGACGTCTGCCTTTCAAGTAGGTTTCCAGAGCTGAGGCGGCAAGTCCCGTTTCGGAACGAGCCGCGGCCGTTTGTCTGAGGAGACTCGTGTAAAGTTGTCTTGTAGATGCTTTGGGCGTATCGAGATCCATATGTACTACCGTAGCCTGAGCTATGCCTTTGAGTCTGAAAGCCGTGCGTGCTGCAACTTCACATATACCAAAGCAACGTGCTTCATGCTTCACCACAGCACCCGGCCCAAAGCCTTAGTGCAACTATTGAGGTCTGCGCGATGCAACCTGCCCTGATGAGTTGAAATCATGAGTCCTCGCACAGGCTTCCGCCCCGTATCCGGAGTTGTACGAATGGAAGGAGGCGCTCCAGCCATGCGCTCCTGACTTCATATGCATAGGAGCTCTGGAATGTGAAGGCTTTCCGTGCAACGACCTCGAAAACCTAGTCATGCCAGTCCTGGACGACATGCTAGACAAAGCCTGTTCTTATGCTAATGAAGCAGTCGTTTATCATCTTGCAAAGATGATTAAGCTGACATGGCGATGGTGACGATTGTGAATGGTTGCTGTTCATGTTTTTGTTGCTGTTGTCGCTGGTGCTGATGCAGGCGCTGGTGCTGGTGCTGGGTGGTGCTGGTGGTGTGGTCATCGTCGGAATCGTTGTCCTCGTCGCCGTTGTTCCTGTTTCTTTGAGTCTTGTTGCAAGTTACAGAGGCAGCGGTGGAAGACAGATCAAAACGTGAACAGCAATTAATTTCCGCGCTGTTAAGCACATGCAGATGTGTGGCCAGGACCGTGGCTCTGGCCCTTCAGTACCCAGACTGGAGGCAGCAGCTCTTTCTGAAGGGCATGGGCTCCAAACTCCGGGACAAGACTTGTTTCTGCAGCGGCCCAAACTCCGGAAAGCAGTCGAATGATGTCGAATGCTCCTTCTAGGTATGCATAGGAACCTTCCCGACTCACTCAGGGCGAGGCAGCAGAGACTGCGGGTACGTGTGTACTGGTGTGGTGTCAAATCATTCTACAAGTTTACCTCCTTCCTACACGTCTAAGCCCAGAGCTGTGACACGGCTAGGATCCCTGCGACAGCCTTGCAGCCATGCAGAAGCGCCATGTCCGCCACTCAAGGGCCCCAGGGCACGACACTTTGATGTTCTATAGAGGCTACAGTGCCTAGGTTTCACTCGTGTTTAGAAGGGGTTGGTCTTCAATGGTCTTCGGTTGAGGATTCGATGCCTGCCGTCTTTTCGTGTTCATGACTTAGTTGAATTTGAACATTCGGATATTGCGTAACCAGAGCCGGCCAAGTACAGAATGTTTACGTTGGTGCAATGTCTCTGCGACTTCTGATGGGCAGCGGAGCTACACAGGCGCCGATGACGCATGCTGCGACGCTCCACCCGCTGTCGAAGACGAAACCTTGGGACAAGGACGCACCCGATTGCTGCCGCTGACACACCGGACTGCAACCCGTGCATGAACCAGCCCGAAGCTTCTCCACCCAGACACGTCGCCTTTCTATCCCACCTCTGCAATCCACAGTGCTCCTTGCGAGCCGCCGGTGCCTGACAAGATCAGAGCGTGTTGTAGATTGTAGGCTGACGGACTCAAGGCAGTCCATACATCGCACACATGCGCACGCACAAGACCATTCCTGTCAGGAGAAGACGATGTCCACGAAGCATTCTATGCCTTCCTCCGAGTACATGGGCCCCATCGACAGCGGCAGCTCCAACATGTAAGGCAAGTGGTTTTGTGTTTTAGGGAGGACCTGCCTACTACCGGTGCGAGCTTGGTCTAGAGTCTAGGGTTTGTCCTGGCATTGGTCATAAATGCCGGGAGTCGTGTGGCATGGAGGCGAGCTTGAGAACTATCGCCGTTCGCAAAAACCGTCGCCCTTCTTAATAGTCTGGGCATGATGGAACGTATTGCCACTATGACCGCGAGACTGTGTTACTGATTTTACTGCCATATGTCTTGCTTTTGCACTGATCATGGGAATGGATGCAGGAGTGTGGGGCTTCCTCTTCTTGTCAGTGCTTCCTGCGCTCTGTTCTCCTAGCTTTGTGTCATTGTGGGTTCGCTTTCAGGTTGGACTCTCCTTCGGTCGGCTGCCGGTGCTTGAAGTGTATGTACATGCACACATGCCTATGGTCCATGCATGTCAGGCTTATGATGAATGTGTGTGTGTGTGTGGATATATATATATATATATATATATATATATTATGTGTGCATGTTTTCTGTGCAGTTACATATATCTGTCTACACACGTGCATAAATGCTCATATCTTTGCAAGCTACCCCTCTCTCCGTCTCTCCCTCCCTCTCTCTCTCTCTCTCTTTGCCTCTCTCTCTCTCTCTCTCTCTCTCCCTATGCGTACTCCTATGTATATATGCACATCTCTCACAACCGCAACTCACTGTGTGTATGTGAGTGGGTGAGGGTGCGTGCACCTATCTTCATTGATGTTCGCCGCGGCTTTTCAGCGACCAGCCCGTCCCAAGTCAACAGCGGAGCCCGGGTTCCTAGGGACTCAAAGTGTCCGACACCACGGCAGAGATGCGCCGCTGAGCTGCAGTCCCTTCTTCCTTTCCTCTTCTGGTCCAGCAATGGGACAATGTCGACATAAGACCAAGGGTTGGGTTCGCCTATGCTTTGCTTAGCCTTAGCTGCCCTTGGCTCCGGGCTGCCAAATGATGGGTAAAGCAGCGCCTGCAACAGCGTTTCTTTAAGAATGCGTCGTTTGACATTTGGTGTCTCGTCAGTTTGTGTGTCGCCTCGGGCTTCTCAGGTAAGACAGCATTGATCACGGGCATCACCGGACAGGCCCGTTTGTGGCCTCGCGGCCATGCTCAATGCAACCTCGAATAATAAACCCGTATGAGGCAGCGTGATCCGGTGTGGACACCTGTCAGGATGGATCCTACCTCGCGGAGTTTCTGTTGGAGAAGGGCTACTGCGTCCATGGCATCATCCGAAGATCGTCATCATTCAACACAGCCCGGAACTCGGAGCCAGAACCGGCAGAGAGAAAGGGTAAGGGGATACGCATGTGGATTTGTGCATTTATCAAATTTATCAGTTTATCTCTGTCTATCTATCCAGATGGTTCCAGGTACATGTGGTGATGCATGTTTGGAGAGATGTGTATATGTATGCGTACTAGTATAACCGCAGCAAATCCCGCCAAGCTGATGCACTGAGTATGCAAATCCGGATTACCAGCATCACTGTACGACCCGATTTGGTCTCCCTGCGAGTCTAGCAGATTTTCGACCCGCTTCCATGGTTGCTCCCCAGTCGGTATCTCTAGCAAGTAAGGGTGCGAAAACATGACAAAGGCTACCGTTGTCAGACGGTGGGCCTTATGCACTGAAGCCTGAAGCTCTAACTGTGCTCGCAGTCACTCTACCCCTGTCCTCAGTTTTTTCCGCAACCGAAGGCACGCATCGATCACATCTTCGACAAGGTGGACGGCGGGTTTGGTGGATTGTATCCGCATGTAGGGCGTGCGGAGTGTCCGGACCACGACGTAGCAGCCGAAGGAACCAAGAGAAGAGATTCGGCCATCTCGCACAACCAGAACCTTCCGGCTTTAAACCGCATTGCTCTGATAGTTTGTAGCCAAGAATACCAAGGCAGGGCAAGGCTGATGTTGCTACTTACATGTGCGCATCAACGAAGAACGGTTCGACAGAACAGCACAACAACAGTTGTGATCTGACAGCAGCCTTGAAGTATCCTGGAGGTGAACCTGCACTATGGCGACCTCGTCGACTCTAGCAACTTAGCCTCCATCATGGCCAAGGCTGGAGAGTCACCTTAGTCTTGGCTTGAGAACTGGCCTTCACCTGTCTCTTCCGGCGCTGAACAAAGGTCTGGGTGTTGTTGAGGAATCTTGTTTGCATGCCATGTGTAACATAAACAAGTATAACCCAAGGAGTTATTAGTAGTCCGATTATCTCGGTTTTAGGTCCGGTTCAGGTCTTACAGGCCAGGCGGTGTTCAGGACACTGGCATAACCCTGCCAGTACTATACATGACCAGCAAAGGCGCAACTAAACATAATTGCCAGCATGCTGTACCAACCGGCTTTCGACTGCTGTGGCTACCGGTCTCGGCCACCTGGCAGGTCAAGCCTGACGAAGTTGCTTGGCTTTCCGCTCATGTTGGAGTTGTGGGATCACATATGCTGCTGAACAAGACTTCCTTGACGAATCGCACCCACTTCCGTTATGACTGATGTATGTCAAAGCGTCAAAGCCGACGGCTGGAGATGGTGTAGGGTTGTGGTTTGGTTGCTTTGGGCCGGATAGCGCTTGTGCGCAGTTCAAGGTGTTCGCGCAAGAGGGTTGGGATGGCCGGGGAAAAATGTTGCTCGCTTAAGTTGATTGCGGACTAATTTCATCCTGATTTTGCAAGCCGAATCAATCGTCTCGGCTTCGCCAGGTTTGAGGCCGCTAAGTCATAGGTGTTGCTCCAGCAGCTAACAGCCGATGACTCCATGAGCGAATAATTAGAGGGCCGCGAACAGGGACCCGGCAACGACTCTTGACAAACAAGACTCCTACAGTCCGAACAGAGCCGAAGAGTGCAAGGTCTACAATCTGGCAGCACAGTCCCACGTCAAGGCGCAACCGGCCGTAGGTTTTCCTTCCGTTGTGTTGAGGTCGGGCCCTGCTCGGCGGTGAAATTTCGTATAACTTCTCCGTTTCAAGTCAGGACGTGTAAGTGTAAGGGAACACTAGTAATTCAGAACACGCCTGCCTGTTTCTGCTGCTTGTAGCGATTACCTGTGAATTCCCTGAGCAGATTGTGGCAAGACGAGAAGAAATGCCTGCAAACAGGATTGCATTCCCGAAGGGTGCTGTTCCCACACAGTGCCAATGTAAGCAGCAGCTGCAATCGCGAAAAGATTATGAGCCTTCAACTTGTTCAGAAGGCAGGAGATGCGTTGCTGCAAGAAGTGGAAAAGTCTTGCAAAATATTTGCTTGGTTTCGTGTCTTTTTCCGACATGCTGGCATCGCCCCAAACGACCCAAAACAGCATGGGCAGACAGTTTCATTGCCATGGCCTTAGAGCGGGATGGTGAAGGACTGCTGCAGTAGGTTTGTGCTGTGACAGCGACCGACTGTGACCACAGGTCTCTTTCGAAGAGCCGGAGTACACGGCACAGGCTGATGGTGTCTTCGCTGCAAGCCTGTTTGCGGTTGGACGGTTGCGAGAGCAGGCGTCAACACTTACTTGATGTCAATAACGAGGACAGCCAGGAGTATTTAGGACAGTTATCAATACAAACAAGCAGGTCGAGCATCAGTTAGTGCTACACAACAGAGCCAGACATGTGATGTGCCCGCTGTGTGTGGTTCCACACCAGGGAGTTTTCGTGTTTCGAGCAGTCGAGTGCAGCAGATGTTGCACCATGAAGTCTTGAAAAGGGTTTGGCAAGGCCGGAGTCTGCCCTTCAGGGATTTCAGCAGACCTGAAGCATAGCAGTACGTGTGAGTCGCGACGGCCCAAGTACTTGTAAGTTTGTACTGTAATTACGAGCTTTGATCCGTGCAGAAGCCTGAAGCTGCGAAGTCTCTCAAAGGCGTTTTGGTTCTAGGGTGCTTTCTTGATTTACAAGCAAAGCGTCTCGCACACGAGTGCTTCAGGGACCTGGGTGTAAGTGTGTGTGTGTGTGTGCCTGTGTGTGCGTGCTTTTGGCACACTAGGCGTGGGAACTCTCCGGCTTTTGGAAGCAATCCGCACAGCACCATGGCTGCACCTACAGCTTTGCCTTGGAGTTCCTTTGCCCATGCGCAGCATGCTCCACCTGCAATGCAATGGGTGGACAGTTTAGGATCCCCTAGCCAAGAGCGAGTGGCAGCAGTAGTCGATCTACTCAGCGTATGTATTTACAGCGTATGTATTTACTACTGCGGACTGCGTTCTGCACAGGTGGGACTGGAGAAAACCACCAGGTTCTATCAGGCATCGACATCGGAGCTCTACGGTATGGTGCAGGACTGGCACCGCCAGATTGCCACTGCATGTAGCGCATCCCCGAAGACCACTCGGCCACGCTGAAGAAGAGTTATGCTCGCAGCAAACGGAACTCGAGCAGCCTTCATTACCAAACCAGGAAGTGCCGCAGAGAGAGACCACTCCCTTCTATCCACGCTCGCCCTATGCCGTGGCGAAGCTCTACGCCTACTGGATTGCAGGGTCCTCGGAGTTCCGAAAGCCCGAGGGATTCAATTCTTCAAAGGAGTCAGTATTGACGCAAAATGATTTGAGAGCTGCCGATGCTGCAGAGGGCGCCACATGGTCAGCAGCAGGTTTCACGGGGTAAAAGGTAAAGGTTGAGCGAAGTCCATGCTGGCGGCGAGTTGAACATATGTACTTTGCCAGGGATTGGGTGATAGTCTGCCAAAGCTTATAACCACTGCTTGGAGAATCGACATATGCAAGGACAGGGCTGCGAAATAGTGAGTTTGAGTCTCTTATGCCAGATGCCGACTTGGAAACTTCGGACCAGTTTCCTTTCAGCAAGGTGGTCAACTACCGCGAAGCTTACGAGATGCCTCTACTCGGCAAGGGAGAAGTGGAAGAAGACTCTGTGTTTCAGTCGTTGCACACTACAATGATGATTGTTTGCATTTGGCTGAGTCTAGAAAGAGATGACTTTGTCTGTCTTTGTTAGTGAAGTCTAAGTCAGTTCCTTTCTGGATGACCCCTTGAATTTCCTAAAAAATTTAGATTCATCATAGGTTGCCTCTGGGAAAACAGAGCTTGTACTCACAGCGTTGCCCGTATACTACACTGTGACCTTCTTCGAAGTCTCAAGGTTCTTAGCAGTCAGTAGACCCGAAACTTTGGCTCCAAGCCCGGAACGTTCAACCCTAAATGGCACGGACCAGCTAGCTTGGCAGAGAGAAAGAGAGAGGTAGCTTTTTATCGATGTTTCGAAAATGAAGCAATCGCTCCAGCCTTCCGATGTTGCTGGCGATTGGCAAACTTCTAGCCCCCAAGCCTGCGGATTCCGAACTTCGGCGAGGTATACTGCAATACACAAGGCAGTTCCTATGTGCGTGGATTTCAACTTGTCGGAACATGTGCAGGACCAAGGAATGTTTACATGCATGTGCGGGATCTTAATTAGTTGGTGCAAACGGTGTAAATCGCAGTGCGAGGTTGTCACCATGCATCGTAATGGGTAGCAATCGTCTTTAGCATGATGCCCATAATAGCCTACCCAAAGACCCTCTCTAGTCCCAGACGAGTTTAGAGCCCAGGTTCGCTGTCAATGGCATCTTGTTCAATCACGAGTCGCCTCGTCGAGGAGGCCGGAGAGCGAGAGACAACCTTCTGCATTGGCCAAGCATAGGCTGGTGGCTGAGTCCTGTAGCTGTAGTACCATTAGCAGTGGTGTCCTCGTCGTCGTCGCAGTTGCTGTCCTCGTGTCGTAGTGTCGTAGTAGTAGTCATAGTCGTCAGCAGGTGCTGGTTGTCAACGGAAGTGATTGCCGCACCTGAATCCGAATGAACGGCAACTGATTTAACAACAGGCGCGCGCGCCTGCGAGTCTTCCATGGTCTTTTTGTGTAAAGCCGAAGAGCAAGAGCCCACCACGGAGCCTCTGAGGCCCGATCAAGCCCTCCCTCCAGGCTTAAAACGTGGATGTGGAGTTGGGGGTCCGAAAAGCAGGGGGTACCTTATCTTGGGGTCCTTCTGATAAGGATCCTACTATTCAGGATACTGTAACAGGGTCCCCTATTTCGGAAACTGCCATGTTGGTGTGAAAGGAACCTCAAAGCTTTGCGGAGCCGCACTACGGCCATGCAGGCACCTTCGTGACCAAGAAAGTCACGGCCAACGTGGCACAGGTCATGGCAGGCAGTCCTCAGGGCCACAACACCAGACTGACACTTTGGAAGGAATCAGCTGTTCTTCTGAAGCATTCTCAGGACATGTGCATTTGGACTTTTGAAGTGCTTCCAGCAGTGCACCCCAAGACCGCCCGCGACAGGCACACGCGACCGGATACTCCTAGGAAACTTGGACTCCAAGCGTGACTGGGGCCATGCCAAGGACTGGCTGGTGTTGCTCGGGTTCTGGGAGTTTGCGAGTTGCGCACGTGTTCTCGGAGTCTGGGATTGAGGTTGGAAACAAGGCCCAGCATTCCTGCTCCAAGGGACGCGTTCAGGCTTGGCACAGTTTTGGGAGCGAGTTGGGTTGCCAGGACTACGTTCGGATGATGTGGATGATGCTGCAAGTGGAGAAGCCAGACGACTTTGTCGTGGCCACCAACAAGCATCCGTTCTGCAAAGACTAGGACTAGGAACGGCCCTTGCCTTTCGGCTCCCGCTTGGAGTTCAGGTTGAAGCTCAGTGGGCTTTCGGCTGCTTCGGCATTCGGCTAATGGCCTTGACTCTGACAGTGAGGTCGCAGGGGAAACAGCTGTGTCCGTAAGTTATGGCTGCCGAGGCAGTACAGCGTGCGAGATTTGGTCACCCTGTGCTTCGAGATGGCGACTCGGCAGAGGAGATTTGGAGCTTGTTTTTGGTATAGAGCGAGTAAAAAAGCGGAACAAGTTGCAGATGGAGGGCCAGAGTGGTTTGCAATGCTACCTTTCGGGGTGGAGAACCACCCCTGCAGAACAGGCACAGAGGAAGGGCCTTCTTGTTTCACAATTTCCGGTGGCCCAGGATCTTGACATGATCCCTAGAGTCCTAGACTTTGTACTTGCAGATCCATCCATTCGCGAGTTTCCCGGCAGCATCCAAACTGAAGCCTAGCGTGGAACAGCTCACTATTCAAACTCGTCACGAATGCCTCAGACGGAGAGCAGCTCAGGTGGGCAGGCCGGTGATTTGGCGCCTCGGCTGTGGCTTCGGGTATAAGTACAAGGCTTACGAACAAGCTTACTTCAGGGTTGAAGGTTTGTGGTCGCAAGAGGCCTGGACGCAAGACAAGTTCGTGCTGTTCCGTTGTTCGGAAATTGGGAGGCATGTCGACATGGTTTCGCCAAAACCCTACAAGACCTGCATGTGTTTTTTGTTAGCGGTGTTTGCATAATGTAGTCCTGGATCTTCAATCTGACTTACTCCGCAGCATCACCAGAAAGTGACCAACAAATGTAGTTAAGTTAATCGTTCTGACCCAAATGACCCAACTAAACGACTAGTGCTGCCTAGGCAGCTGCACAAGTGTTCAAGGGCCCGTTCCACATGGAACCATGTCACCCCAAACAATATCCCAACGTCACTACGTGCTGACCCTAGCTGAACTACCTGATCTAGCTGAGTCTCCAAATCAGAAGTAGCAAGCGTTGCTTGTCTTGCTCCGATGATTTTTCTGCAGATCAGCTTTGTGTCAAGCCAAAAAGACCCTCTACCCATCTGTATGCAGTCCGCTCCATCAATGAGCTGAAGCCTCATGGGACTTCGAAAACTGCGAGCCACATGTCAAAAAGGCTAAACAGACTCTGAGGCGTGGAACAGGCCTCGAGGAGGAAGGAGTGGACGAGAAGAGTGGCCAGGTGTTGGTCCAGGTGCCACTGGATCAGAAGCCCCGCTTTGAGACTTAAATCATTCGCACGTAGTCGGGTGACGGCCGGAGGGAAGGAGCTCAGGCGAAGTCTGGATAGTTCCAACTTACTTCCAGCTGCTGCTGGGTAGGACTCTGACTCCTCCTCCTCCTCCTCCTGCTCCTCGTCCTCCTCCGCCTCTCCTGTCGCTTCCCCTCCTGCTTCCTGCTGCTGGTGCTCGTAGCCCTGCCCCTGCCCCTGTGGCCACTTACTGCTGCTGCTACTACTGCGACTGCCGCGACAACCACTACCACCGCCACCATGACCACTCCGATTTTCTGCTGCCGCTGATGCTTCGACGGCGACCTGAAGCACAACTGCAAGGATGTACAACTGTACAACCCCCTGGAACCGAAGCTTGGCCGAATCCCCGCCGAATGCAGGTCTCTCCGAAGTATTTCCGACCAACCGAAGTGGAGACGCTCTTGGGCGACCCGAAGAAAGCCAGCGAAAAGCTGGGATGGTTGCTTGCCTGAGACATCTTCGCGGAAAGTCGGAAAATCATCATCGAAGAATCCAAGCAATAGTGTGGGTCATCCTTGTTTATTTCATGTTTCGGTCGCATAGTAGGCTCAGCTTGTGTGGGGAGCGTGGATGTCCGAGCGGATCTCTATGCAACGAATGTTTTCAGAATAGTAGAGCTGTTTCGGCGCCATCCTTTGGTTGACATGGACTTGCCGGTTTCCAGAGTGCTCCGGGTAGGGCATTGGGATTTTCGGGATCCAGGTCTTAAAGTTCACGCCTGGCGACTTGAATTGCACTTCGTTTGCCGAGACTTCAAGCCAGGGACCGTTTCCCAACTGTCCCAGTGTTGGTGTAATGCTACGAGCCCCCACACCCCGAATAGACACGTGACATGCAGTTCTGGGGACGGTTTGCTGGAAGTCCGGGTGAGAGCATAGGGTTTTGAGGTTGAGGCTTAGAGTCCAAACAAGTCGGGTTTGCAGCTCAAGCTCCGTAATCTCCCTTCTCTGGGTGGACCTGTCACTCCGAACGATAGCCGTTACACGGCTCAGGAAGCCAGAGATCTCCTTCAAGGAGCTGGTTCACGAAATGCTTCTGGGCTTGGTCCATGACAAGTTTCAGCAGTTCTTGGCTTCGGAGCACGGCACGGAAGTTTTCCTGCCAAGTGGCTTGCTGTTGTCTGCTTGACTTGGTGAAGGGTTGTTTGGAAATGAGAGCACTGCGACATGTTGTGATCATTTGTGGGGATCCGCCCGTAAAGGGTTGCGCTAGGAAGCCTGATCGAGTTTTTCCAAACTAAATATTTCAGGCCGCAGTGGCGAAATGTGCACACAGATTTGTTCGGGCAATTTGGGTGCTTGGATCTAAAAGGCCAACAAGCAGTCAGGCCGGACAGTGCTTTACAACGGAGACGCATTGATTTATTCAAAACGGTTAGGCACATTGAATTGATCCCGGTCCCCGGTTCTTGGTGCTGCTGCAGGTTTCGTCAGCGAAGCTGCTTGCAAGATCACAACAAAGTTTCAGGGTTGTTGCTTGAGGAGCCTAAGTTGCTTGATTCGCTCAGTACACTATGTGTAGGAACTTAAGTAAGGAAGCAGTGTAGCACAGTTGCCACATTCGTCGAAACACTCCGTGCTATGCTGTACCAATAAGCTAGCCTTAAGCCCCTGCAGCATGCCATAACCTTCTTCGAATTCACAAGGCCCAGCCCGCATGTTACATCATCTCGGCTTGAGGCTTGACTACGACATGACCCAGGCAGGCCTGACACTCCCAGCGTCGGCAAGGGACATCATGAAGAGACAGGACATCGGGTCAGTTTTCTGGGGCACCAAGTTGAAACAGCCCTGCGCCTTCTTGAGTAGCAAGGGTGGTCAGGCTGCAGAAAACGCAGACTTTCTTGGGCGGCCCGAAGCTGTTTGCAGGACAAGTACTGCTGACGAGGGCAGTTCTGAAAAGCTGAGCCGCTCTCACCATTTTCAGGAGCCACCCTCCGGAGTGGCGATTTAACCCGCTCAATGTCTCCCGTGATCCTAAGATGATATGTCTTGGTTCAAGAGTAACCCCTAGGCCCGGCTAAGACCTGAACTTAGATGGAAATGCGATCGTATTTTCGAGACCATGGAAATTCAGGCAGCAGCCCACCTGGTCACAGTGGCCGGGGCTTCTATCGTTTGGCACAACAGATGGCAGGGTTTGCGCTCGCGAAGAGGAAAGCTTTTCGCACCGGAGCTCCCACATGCAGTGTACCGTTGCGAAACAGCCCAGCTTCAAACCATGCTGACTTGTGCGAGGTTGCAGTGGTTCTTGTGCTGGTCAATATTTGCAAAAGGGCCTCGACATATGACCTCATAAGTACCCACAGATATGAGGAAAGCTTAATGACATCACACCCGCACACTACAAATTGGGTATTCCTGACTCCTTGGAGCGGTCGGTGTTTGTTTCAGGATTGTCGCTGTGTAGAAGGGTGGTAGTGCTCGGCCGTGCAACGTGTGAAGTCTCGGGTTTTGCCAAGGCTTGACGTGAGTTGGAGATTCGGGATTCGGGGGTGCCCAGGCCCAGAACCTTCACGAGATGCAGAGCGCATGCGCTGCCCAAAAGTATTTTGATCGAATTCACATAGCCTAGCTGTCTTTGCACCTTCCTGGACTCAGCAAAGAAGCATTTACTTGATAAGAAGTGTCCTATGTCCTATGGCGTGCCAGTCTATCCATGGCTACTGCTACCGGCATGTCCGAGCAAAGCTCGGCAGAGAGAAGGTGCAAAGGCATGCTTATACAACGAACGCTGAAACCTGGCTGATATCGCTTCCCTGCTTGGGCCGAGCACCTTGCCGTCACAAACCCTCAGAGACAGGAAGAGGATCTGGGTAAGACGAGTACTCCTTGAACACCAGACTCGGATCAAAAGAGGCGCATGAACATCCAGCATCGAAACTCCTTGAACATGGTGTATACACACAGACACGCCAGCAACACTGTGGCTGCCACCTGTACTTCTACTCCCAATTTCTACGACAGCGACGCCTAGTGAGTCTATCACGATACCAATACGACGACTTCTACCGTTGCTGCTACTGGTGCCACCGCTACTGTACCACCAGCTTTTGCTGATCCTCATTACCGTGAGAGTTGACCACGTGCATACCTCAACTTACGACAACAATTTGACGGATCTCCGCAGTGAAGGAAGCTTCGGTGCTTTGACCCGGCACGGTCGAACATCCACGACATTCTCCAACCGCGCAAAAAAAGGTCATGAGTCATGCCTCTAAGATGATATCCGTACAGGTGTTGATATAAGTGTTTTGGTGGTGGTCATGCTGACAGTGTTGCCATAGTGTCGCGGTGGGTGTCATGACCATCGTCCTTGTTAATTATCGTGGCTGTGGCTGCTGCTGCCGCTGCTGCTGGTGCTGTTGTTGTTGTTGTTGTCGCTGGTGTTGGCATTGGGGTTGGTAGTGGTGGTGGTGGCGGTGGCGGTGGTGGTGGTGGTCGTCGTGGTGGTCGTGATGGTGGTGTTACTGTTGCCGTTGCCGTTGATGCTGCTGTCGCTGTTGTTGCTGCTGTTTCTGCTGTTGCCGAACTTCGATGACCTCCACACATCAGCCTGCAACTGTTTTAAACATCAATGCACAGCTTGACCCCGCGAACCATGCCAGGGGTGCCAAAGCCGGTGCGCGGAGCGGGCGAATGACGAGTCCCCGGATGCGGGGAGAGATGGGCCTTGTGCTTTCCTGTTGAGCTTTAGGGAAAAACTCGTAGGGTTATGAGATATGATGGGTTATGTATGCAGGGTCCAGCATGTGGGTTAAGGCGCTGAAATTGGTGGGGCCAAGACATGTCCAAGCATCCTGAACCTAAGATCCGAAACTGTTATGTTCCACAAGATCGGCCGTGCAGATTAGCATGCCGCTTGTGGAATATACATCATTACCAGTAGCTGTAGCTTTGATTTCAAAGCTGCAGTGTGCCGTCAGTGACAAAGTTTCAGGCTCAAGAATAGTCAAGTTGTGCTTCCTGCCGTGTCAGTGGTGGACACTGCAGCACTGCCGATTTTGGAGTGTTTTGTTTCAGGTCATGTTACGATTGTCCCACTGTCCTGTTCCGTGCGGACACTTGTCCTGAAAAAGAGCTCGGATTATGATTATAAAAACTGGGAGTTTTCAGAAACTATTGGGCATTCATGAACTAGTGGGATCGCTAGCCACCCTCGTTCTCAGAATCTCCCAGGTCTCGGGGTGTGACATCAACGCGAACGGCGTTTGTCTTGTCGCACGGTCCTCCCATTTCCGGGGCAGGTTCTTGCCGAAGGCAACCCTGCCAGCGGCAGCTGCATTGTGAAGTTTAGTCGGCACCTTGTGGTCCTTACGCCTGCACGTATATTCCATTCTCAGCAGTGATCCAGTTTGCTCAGTTCTCTCTCTCTCTCTCTCTCTCTCTCTCTCTCTCTGATCAAGAACATGAAACTCTTGATAGCGGAGAGCTGCGACATATACTCCATCTGCATGCTCTCTGCCATGCATCTACATATCTTTTTATAATATATACATATAGCACCTTCAAGGAAAAACTTGCAATACCTGGGCCAGCGTGGGGTCCTTGGGGTTGTTGAAACGTGAGTACTTCTTGGAGGCATGCTGGAGTCTAGCATCTTCATCACGCGACTCTCAGCAGGGATGTTGAACTTTCTGCAAGCTGCCCCATAAAATCACGGCTTGGTAGACATCGACTTACTGTGCCATGTTATTCTAGCATCAGTAAGAGCCCAGAGCGACACTTGGCGCCGATAAGCTTCGTCTTGGTCCAGCAGTCACTAGTGCTGCTGGAGGAAGGCGTTTCCGGCAGCTGCCGCTTCGAGCCGAGCGTCGTCTTACAACAACGGAAAAGCTTACACGGCCGTTCTGAGTTCGCGAAAGCACTGGCTCTTACATTTTGGGCTCGTCCGTGTGGCAGGGCTGATGTATTTCCGGGCTAAAACATCAAAGTCAGAAGCTTAAGCCGTGAGCACAAGCGGAGCATCTGCCGACGCTGCACACCCTCGAGATTGTCCGTGCAGGATCGTTTTCTGTGTGCTGCGTCTTAACTGTTGTCTGAGCCGTGGTCCCTGTGGTACCTCCATAGCCACGATATTCAAGAGGGTTTTTGTATCAAGACATGAAGCCTCACGCGTGAAGGGCGGGACCACGTGCCAAGACCGTGCGCAACACTGAAGCAGCTAATCGCGTCGTCAAGCACCGTTTTTGTTTAGCAGGCTTGCGGCTTTTGGGTGTCACAAGCTGCTGATGTTGCATGCAGTGGTCACCTGCACTTGGTACCCTGGTTGACAGTTGCCAATCCGTTACGATGCCACCCCCGGCTTGCAACTGTCGCGGACCTCTATGTGTCTTTTCCTGGTTCAACCTTGACACAGTCATTGATGAGCTGCTCATGCATACTGCACGTGGAGTGTTCCCATGCATCCGGAAGCCCAGGTTTTCATCGGCGAGGCAGCCGGAACCCTGCATTTCAAGGGCTCAGCAATCCGAAATCTTCTGCTTTACCTCGAATGCAACAGAGAGATGATGACGATGGTTGAAAAGCATCAAAAACACGAAGCTGATGCGATGATGCTGGTTATGATTGTCACGGTGATGCTGGTGGCGATGATCACGATCATCTTGGTTGTTATGACCCTGCTGACCTCCAATCCCACCATCATCGGCACTGCTGCCGCTGCCGCTGCCCCAGCAACCATCTAGCAAGCAACGAGCAACGAAGATATCTTCCATTGTAACGAGAATGTGTGTGTTTTTGTATACAACAAAACTAGATAAAAATGTCTGTCTGTCTGTCTGTGCGTCCACCTATCTATCTATCTGTCCATCTAGAGCACGGCATAGCGAAGCAAAGCGAAACACCGCCAGACGAGTCCGACAGTGCATACCTAGCGCGACATGTCCTCAGGTCATACCTACAGAAACACATCACAACGCAGCTTGTTACAGTAAGGCACCGAAGAGCAACATGTCATCAGACCATGAAAATGCACTACAAGGTAATTACTGTACTCAAACGTACTACAACACACTCCGATAGAAACACGATACAGTGCCTTACAATACACTGTGTGCAAATACAATCCATACTGAACTCTAACCTTTATAGCCTCCTATATCGTGTTGCAGCCCGATACAGCATAGCCTAGCACAGCATGGCGTAACATGACATGGCAGTGTATAGCATGACATACCGTGTCACAACATACTGTAGCGTTTCATAGCATGACCAATCTGATTATGTAGTCTGAGTTCTGTGTTCTTGATAAAGGCATGATGCGCAGGGGGCATCCGAGAGTCACGCCCAACAATTTGTATTATGTTCTTCGGGCCTAACATCGCCCGGCATGAGGGTTGTTGTTAGTCACACTTGCCAGAGACCCGAACAAGTGAGTCTCTTATCCCTCAACCGCCAAGCCCGCCGGTGATCGACCTGTGGAGGTGTCACCCCCGCGGCGCCGCCCTCCGAGTGACATCCGAAGGAAGCTGGCAGAGGCGGCTTTGCCGGCCACGGGGTTTGTTCTTGATGTGCCAAGACTGTAGCACTTCGGCAAGAAAGTATATACCCCTGCGTGATTTCGGGGTTTAAAGCACGTCTTACGGGCTTGTAGTAACCTCCGTTGCAATGCCCAGCATTCATCGCTATACCGTCATACCGGCAAGCTCGCAGCAACTCAGTTTTTGTTTGGCGAAGGCGCTGCTTCAACATGGGTGCTCATCTCGTTTACCAACAATACATGGCCGAGATCTTCGCAACAGTACCTAGCCAGTGTTCAATCGTGAGAGGCTTCCAGTCCATGGCTTAAATGAAAAGTCCAAAGAAGAACCTGCCCGCAGATGTGGTGGCGCTGGACGCAGCAGCGGCGGAGAGAGTAGCTCGGCGAGACCTTCCAAGCCCAATTCTGATTGCAGAATCCCTTGGATGTCTCAGCGCGGAGGGCTGGTGTCGCATCCATACCAACATCCTTTGCTGCTTTAGCAAATGGTGCAACCTCCACTGCTTGAGAGCCTTCATGTGGATCAGCGGCCGACTGGTCTGACAGAGAGCTTTTCTTTGCTAGTGACAACGACATCGGCGACCAAAGGATCACGATCAGTACCAGTGCTGCTTCACGATCAAACCCAAGCAGCCCACACCGACAAACGCATGATGTGCAATCGCGACAAATGCAGGATAGGGTGCCTGGCATGTCGTAGCTGGGACGGGAAGCGATAGTTGCACACTTCAGTGGTAGTCGTCGTCATATTTGGGTGGCAGGTTTCTCGTACAGAGAACATGAATGGACCAGAGGGAGCAATATGTAGTAGATGTACGTCGACGGGCAGGCTAAAACACAACGACAATATCCAATGGCAATCAGTGTCAGCGTTTTGCGAAGAAGGCAGAAAGACGTTGAGAAGTGGGTTCCCGTTCCCAGGCAGATGGCCGAAGCTATATCTGCAGATGGAACACTGGCGCCGGACTGCGACTACCAGCAGCTGTCAGAAGGCCGAGAAATCAGAGTTGACGCGCAGGAAGGGCCACTATGACAATATTTATGATTTACAATGAATTACGGTTTACGTCTTGTGTGAATGATGGGAGTGACGGAGTAATTAGTTAAAACGTCGAGGCCACTGTTCATGCAGCCTTGAATTGGCTATCTCTCACGCTTTTGTTTGAGAGTCTGCTGACCAGACTACCATGTGCAGACTGTTTGGCTTCTTTCGGTGCACGTTGGGACCACCGGCCAGACTTACTTGGGCCCACCAGCTGCCTGCAGAGTATGTTTCCGGACCACTCGACATGTCCCTCAAGTATGAAGCCTTAAATCATATGAGCAGGCAAGCACCCGCCTTTTGTACATCTCATGACGTATAAGTGAACCTAGGTCTCAGGTCCGAGGTCGTCGATGATGGCATTGACCTGGTATTGTTTGCTTTCGGAAACAAACCCGTTGAAATCTCAATGTTTTGTCAACAAGCCTTTTAGTGTAGCTGAATCGGATGACCATTTCTCTCCCGGCACCAGTGCAAGGCCCCTCCGTCAGGAATGCTGTGCCCAGCTTAACCACCAAATTCTGCGCCCGCGGGAGGTCCCGGAAACCCAGCAGTTTCGCAGGAGCCTGAGATTTGGTGAGTTTGTGGATGGAAGTGCAGGTTAGACAGCGCAGACTAACGAACCAAGAGGCCAATTCTCGCAGAACAACAGTGTCAACCCTGCTACAATCTACAAGCAGCATTTCGCATGCGCTGCTCAGGTCGACAGCGAACAGCTTCCGAGACTTCTGGTTAAGTCTGGGTGGTGGACCAATTGATATAGGCCTGCAACCACTAATTTGAGGGTCCTGCTGCAGGAGAGAGGGAACCACTGTGGGATGCGATGAGCTTGAACTCAATGCTTGCGCACTAACGAAGCCTGTCTTCAAAGCAGGTTCATCAACATCGCAAGGGTTGGCATCCTTGCCATTTTTTCGTCTGAAGGGATCCTACTCGTACAGTTCCTATTTGGCATGGTAGGCCGGTCCGCTTGGCTCCTTTCAAACACACACACACACACACACTAAGGCCTCACATCCAGCAGAGTTTCCGTTCTGAATTTTTCTGCAGGCTAGAACTGTACGGGTTAGTTTCGTGGGGTAGTTTCGTGGGGTTCGGGACCTAGTCTTGAATCCAAAAAAGCCAAAGTCCTACACCTGAAGCTGGCATCAAATGCACGAACAGACTTCTGCTCCGTCCAGGGCACAGTCCAAGTTTAGTCGTAGATGTGTGGCTCGCGTGGCGGCAGGGGCGGCGGGTGGGCGGTGGCACGTGTTCGCCTGCAACAGCCCTGATCCCGTCACGAAGACCCCCTGCCTACATATGCAGGCGAGCCATTTCCGAGGCAAGGAAGGCTCAGCTGCACTTTGTTGTAGACTCCCTGCTTGGAGGTTCTTCACGAAGCTCGGGTACCTTATGCATGCGTCCTTACCACAGGCTGCTACTGTATACTGCTTACTACTGCTTACGTTTAAAATGGTACTGTTAACATGTAGGAGGGTCTAGAGTCTAAAAATCCAGTTGGCCTTGCCAACAGCCGTGAATTCCTTGATTGAGAAACCGGCAGCACCTACAGACTCGACGACCATTCCACTCAGCCGATTTGCTTCAATCAGGCAGCATGTGCAAAGGTACCGAGTGTGGCGGGGGACCGTTTATGGAATTTCGGGCCTCGCAGGAAGATGAGGATTTCGATCCCTGTCGGAGCAAGCTGAAAGGCGGCCTTCCTGGGGCAGCGCCGGCTACGCGCCAGAAGGACCGAAGTGTAGAGCTGTCCTTTCAAAAGGCGGGGGCTCCAGTGTCGTGTCCGGGCATGGTGGATGGGAGAAGCGCTGGTGTTGCCATGTTATGCCATCTGGCTGTCTATTATACACAACTGGACCCTTAGGCACATCGAGCTGTTGTAGCAGAGTATCGTCATGGTGTTTCAACCAGGGTTAGCGCTCCCGGCTCCAAATGTACTGGTGCTGCACCAGCCTTGCTTCAACTCAATGTTGCTCTCATTGGGTATTCGGTGGGCTTGGGATTGACGGTCGAGTTTAGGAAGTAAAGGACTTTAGTTACATTTAGTTTGTGCAAGATCTGAGAAACTCTTCACTTCTTGTTCGGTGCTGAAAAGTAGTGATATCTAGTGACCTCGATTCCGGAAATTCGAAAGTTGACAATCAGAATCCGAAGCGTGCTGAGACAGATGTTGTTCCCGTTTGGCTTGCTTGGCCGTGTTGATGGATGGCCTTCTACAGCTCAAGCTGGGAAATCGGCTGCTGGATGTCCTCCGAGCTACAACTGTTCCTGGGACGTGGGAAGTCCTCATGCATTGATTAGTTGTTGCGTTCTATTCGACACCTGTTAAGTCCGGTGCTTTCAGGTTCGGATCTTGTTGGTGTACACAAGCACAGGTTATTTTTGAGTCATGGCATACACGACGTAGCTGTACCTTTGCTACCACAAGGGGGTCCTTGAGTCGCTCGACAGGCTGCTTCGAAATGATGCCCGAAAGGAGACAAACCTGAATCCTCCCACAACAACCACAGTTACATTCGCGCCAGGCATATATGTGTAGGCGCCGGATTCCTGTACGTCGCAGAACAAGAAACCCATGGTAGAAAGCGGTATCCCAGGTAAACATGATGTTCGCCGTGGCGCTCCTGTCACTTGGGCAGCTGTGCACCGCACTTCCAGGAGGCAATCACGGTTGCAGAACTCGCACGTTCATCGAGCATCTTCTTCCGTAGCCTAGAAGATCTGTTTCTTTGCAACTCGAAATGGCATCGAAGCTGGCCGTCTTTTGCTTGGAGATTAAAAGATTAGAGGAGAGAGCGCATGCAAGGGCTTTGGGCTCCAGAGCTCGGGAGCCTCCCGGATTCTTCCCGATGACCAAAACACTCCTCAATCGCCTTGATTTGTTATTCATGGGCTCGGGACAAGCCCCATGCGTCTTGAAGCAACTGTCAGTTTTTGGTCGAAGAGTATCCTGGTTACCTGGGACCTTTCTGCAAACTTGGGGTGTACGGGGTCTATGCAGGCTTGAAAACCTCCGATCTGCATGTACAAACCTTTATGTGTGAGCCGGGGGGACTTACTCGCGGGAAGGTTGTGCCGACATGTCTGGCCAAAGTGCCCAAGCTCAGGATTCTGAGTTTCCGTTTTGCCGCTGCGTGTCCGGGCTGCTTGCTTGGGGAATGTAATGCAGGTATCCCAGTGGTGCCCATCAAGGGCATCCACGGCACCGTGGATTTTCCCCTGCTGGGGATCGGCACCTGGCAGTACAACAGCACTGTCGCCAAGGACCGGACAACCTAGAACTAGAACTGAACCTAGCTTTCTTCAGATGTGCTCTATATAGGCCTCTGAGCACGAGATCAAAACATCTAAAACAGAACGGCGAGACAAAACCCTGCGCCCAGCGCTTCAGAGCTAGACCGGCCAAGTCTCAAGCCTCGATCGCCCTGCGTTGTAATCCCAGGCGTCGAGTGCGTCACTGCCTCACCCATGAACTTAGCATCTGGGCACTCGGTGCGGCTTCTTTTCTTTTCCTATGAGGGATGGCGAAAAGGCAGTGAAACAAACATACGCATCGACCTTGAGTATGGCCGGAGGATTTTTGGGGAGCCCTTCAATTCAGCTTGCCCCTTTCCTGGCGAGTCTTGGGGCTTGAAGGGCCGACGGCGGAGGATGATGGGTTAGCAGTTCGTACATGTTAGTACGTATTAGTGCGCTTCAGTGTCTCACGTCTCAAGCGCAGAGCAGGCCAGGCACTCGCTTTTCGGCTGGCCCAAGAAGCAGGAGTAGCCGAGTAGTTCGGAATTGCAGAAGGCAACCGGTCCCGTAGCTGTGGTTCTTTTGCATCGGAAGATGGCCGTGGCTGTGGCGAAGATCCCGAAACAGCGTCGGAGCGTGGCCTTCGCGGAGGAGCCGAGCAGCCCTCCTGCCAGGCTTTCGGAGTCCGAGCTCCTACACCGAATGACACAGAATCACGAGATCATGGTGCGGGGGAGAGCGCTGGCGAATTCCGAAACCATTGCCCCCTTTGCAGAGGAGTGTCAGAAGAGGCTGGAGGGTCTCCATGGGTGGCAGAGTCACGGGATCGACTTTCAGCAAGAAGCCACGGAGGAGGTTAAGGTGGAAGAGCGCTTTCTGTTGCCAACGAGCTCCAGTCGATTCCCAGTGACAGTCCTGGATGGCGTCCTTACAAGGGAGATGTGTCAGTCATTCATAAGTATCCACGAGAAGGTGGGCTTTGCGCGTCCACCTTCGCTGCTTGTTAACCTAGCAGAAAAGAACAAACTGGAGGAAGAAGATGAAGAAGATCTCCTTTTGAAGCTCGCTTACGAGCAAGCTAAGAACACATCCGAGCTTGTCCAGATTGAGTCCGTGGACTTTGCAGACTACCTTTGGAAGAAGCTGGGGCATTTCCTGCCCGACGAGCACAGCCACGCAGGGAACTTCACCAGTGGAGTTTACGAAAAATGCGGCATCGTTCCAGTCTTTCGCTTCATGAGATATCAGAAAGACCAGGGCTTCAAGCCCCACAAGGATCCCGAACGTGCATATGCAGAATACCCACTCATGTCTGGCGCTGCAGCTGCACACGGTGAGTCGGGAATCTACAAGTCCTTCTTTACGATCGCCTTGTATTTGAATGACCCTGCAGAGTTCGAAGGTGGCAAGCTCAATTTTGTCGAGCTCCACGTGGATGACATGGGAGAAAAGACATACGAGTCCCAAGCCACCGTCAATCCAGCCGTGGGACGCTGCGTTCTGTTTGCACACAACGAGCTGCACGAAGGTGGCGGGGTGCAATCTGGAACCAAGTACATGTGCCAGTGCGACGTCCTGTACAAGCGCGTGAGGGCTCTTCCCTGAGGTCGACAAATACCCCAACAGTTTCACTGCCCCCCAGTCCTGCAGATGCTGGTGCGAGGGCATCTAGGCCCTAGGCATGCAGCCACCTGCCGATCTCTCCGTCTAAGATTCCAGCAACTGATTAGTCTGAAGTTCATCCCGTTCACCTGGGCGAGAGAAGCAGCAACATGTGTCCAGCTTTGTTCGTGCCCATGTCGACCAGTTGGGTCCAGAGGGCCTCTGCCAATTCCCTGTGACCTCGGAAAGGGGCACTCAATCTGTTGGCTCCTTGCTGTACAGAACCCAAGTGAAGCCTGGAAAAAGCACCTGCCGCAACCATGCAAGCAGGTTGTCCATGTGCGATGCCGGCATGTTTGAGAGCCCGAGAGAGTGGTAATTCAAGTTATTGCCAGCATGCGAACCATCAATTTCAGCTTCATCTGGCAAGGTTCGAGCGTAAGAGCGCGCAAGCTAGATGTAGCCCCACTTATGAAGACTGATTTGAAGCTTCAGTTTGGGAGAGATGTGCCAGGAGACTGTGATCTCCGCCTTCTCCTTGGGATACCGGCATGTGGATACTGCTTCGGTCTACCAGAATCAGAAAGGAGTCGGGGCAGCAGCTTGGCATTTTCAGTGGCCCATCAACGAACGAGCTGCGGAGGTAGCAGTTCTCATCGTTTCAACCTAAGTTGAGTCCTAAGCCGCAGAGGCATTGGCTGAGATGAAGATGGAGCGGGACGAGTTCTTCGTGACATCAAAGATTCCAGGAGACGATGGCTTCGAAGCCGTTATCCTCGGATGTTTCTGGAAAGCAAATCAGTGAATCAGCAACTTCCGCAAGACAAGCAGGGAATAATAACACTGTAGATATTGACAGCATGGTCACGTGCATAACTTTCAAGTCTGATACGGTCTGATATACGTTCCTTGTTGATCCCGAAAGTCCTCGAGGCCAGGTTCTGATTCTGCGATCGGCAAAACGTACAAAGCCGAGCACCCTCGAACCCTTCATACCGGAACCCCGAACCTCAGGCTTTCCTTGCTCTCATGACAAGTTTAAGAAGGGTATGGGCATGTGAATTTCTCATTCGTGCGCAACTCTAATCACAAGTGTACCGTTTTTCGTGCTAGCTGACTTATGCATGCACGTGTGTGCATTTTCTTTGGCTTGGTGTAGGGAAAGTAGTATGTCACAAGATGTATGCATGTTCATGGATGCATGGGTGCTACTTTCATTGGAGATCATTGTAAAGTTGCATGTGTGTATGCTTGACCAGGAGGCCTCAATGCCTCTGCTACAGCTGCAGCAGCCGATGCCTGCCTTGAGGAGCTGGGCCTGTGCCTCGGCAAACACAGGCTCGGATGTCAGTAGGATTGTGGTCAGAATACCATGTTCGCATGTGGGATCTTGGAGTTACGATACATATCTCAATTTTCGGGAGGCCCAGAGTTTTAGGTCAACAGCTCCGGCACGCAGCTGAGCAAGTGCACCTTGAATGGTACTGGTAGGCAGCGGCTTTCGTTTCTCTGTACTTTCTACTGGCGGTTGGCTTCTGTGAGAACCCCGATAGAAATCAGCTTACATTCTGCTGCATTTCACAGCCTTGCAGCGCACATCAGCTTGGATCTGAGCCCTGAGCATTTGACCCCTCAAGCTGGCTCGACAGAAATGCGAGCGAGGAAGTTCGTAGATCTTATGCTGATCCACTTCCCGGCAGACTTCGGGAAGAATGGCTCGGCCAAGGCCAGGACACCCAACAGACTGGGGTTGTTTAGGGGCTCCATAGGTGCATGTGTGGGGCTGTTGCGCAGATTTGCGATGTCCTCCGGGTGAAGGTGAGAGAACATGATGTAGGTTTTTGAGATACTGCGTTGCTTGCCGAACCGGGGCGAGACGCGTCTTTGTTGGACCTGGTGTACTGAATACTTGCCGCCTAGCAACAGAACGAGTTGTCCACTGAACCAACTTCAACGACTGTACTTGCTCTCGCCCGATCGAAGCGAAGATGATGCCACATCTCGTCTTTTGCTTCAAACCCAGACAGATCCAGCCTGTCAAGCAGGTGCACGTGGCCCCACTGAGCCCTGAAGGTAAAGATGCGGGTAGCATCACTGCGTTCTGAACCCCACCTCCGAAGGCTGCACAGCCGCGAGAAAGCCGAAAACCCTAACAAAACGCAGAACTGGAACTCTGGGAACAACTTGAATCCCCCGGCCCAAGTCCTCGGGAGGAGCGTCAGACCGAATGGACGGCTCTGGAGAACTGGGCCAAGTCCGGAAAGGACTCCGGCGTTTCTGCATTTCTGGGATTATGGATTAGGGTTCGTTGCTCTCTTCCTGAGGGATGCTGGCACTGCGAGTAATTAGTGTCATAATATGGTTTTTTGAAGTGATACTCATTCTCCTCGTGTTACCCTTGTTGGAGAAGCTCGCCCCGGCAGGCACGGGCGATCGGTGTTTCCCACTACTGCCGCCGGCAGCTAGATGATGTCCTGAAGGCTGGTCCTGACATACAGAACACAATCTCAATCACATCACATTGTAGATCAGGTCTTACCGCTTGATAGTAGGTGGGATGATTGGACGGATTTACTCCGTCGACATGGGAAGGTGGATCCCACAGCGCTGTCGAAACTGAGTAACCTGCTTCCGGCATAAATCTAAACAACACAGCTTCTCACAACACAAGCCAGGGCTTCCCAAACCCATAGACTGAGACTCCAAGATCGGCGAGTTGTTGAGACAGTGTCCTGTGTAGGTATCAAATCCTATCACTTTACCTTTGGGAGGCGCTTCTTCACAGCTCAGAGCCCTGCTAGAACTCTGGCCAGTGGACATAGCTCCTGGCCGAGCAGAAACCAAGACCGAGAGCCTTGTGCAGAGGTGGCCACGGTCCCCGTCGCCGTGAACCAGGCCCCTTTTCAGGTTTCAAGGCTGAGAGCTTTGTTTGGAGCCAGTTGAGGGCTGTCGTTCGATATGGTTAGAGCAGCCATTTGAGCTTCATCCGTTGTAAGCTGGGCCAGTTGTAGAAAATGTGTTCCATGATGGTCCAGGTGCAATACCATGTGGGCATGGGAACTGCCCCGACTGCCTCCACCGACGACCGGGACTACATGAGGGCCAAGGGCGTGCTGTGGCCAATTGCGCTATGTGTATTTGGGTGGAAGGTCGATGCAGTGAAATGGGCATCAGATAGCACCGGCAGAGTCCATACTGCAAGCGACCCAGCTCGTTGATCAAACTACGTACTGAGGAATCGTAATCTGTTTAAGACGTGATCGGTGGCACCGGCACCACAGACCGATAATCAGGCTCAGAGATTCTCAAGATGCCACAGCCCAGAAAGCATGCACATCTGGTGAAACGAGTATCAAAGCGGCTCCTCTTGACTTGGTAAGTCGGTGGCAGTTGGTCAAGTGGCAAACAGGTGCGCCAATGCGACACTCAACGCGTAGATTGTGCACAGTTCTAGCTTCATCTTGGGGCGGCTGTGATAGGACACACCGAGTTCGGAACGTGCCCACACACACACACACACCACACACAGACACACACACAGACGCACGCGCCCACTTACCCACTCACTCACTAGTAGACTCAAACAAACAATCAACCAATCAATCAAGAACTCTCCGCTTCCCCTTCTTTGTAGGCATACATACATGATATACACACATATTGTTAGGTGTATACATATATATATATATATATATATATATGGAGAGAGAGAGAGAGAGAGAGAGAGAGAGAGAGAGAGAGAGAGAGACAATAGATAAGGTAGACTGGACATCATGTATACCACCATGTACTTGTAGGTACACACCTTCGTACATCACTTTATGCACAGAGAAGCGAAGCCTGTGCGGGGAACCAGTGGTTGTCAACACTACTTGCATATTTGTCGAAATTCCAAGTCATTTCTCGACAGCCGGCGCGCAGAAGTTTTTAAATCGAATCAAAAGCAAGCCAGCCGGAGCCTACCTGCAAGCATCTGTGTGGGGACCGCAGTATCTAGATGCACATGTTCAGGCTTACACACAGACACACATGTACGTACATATTTGCTTGCCTACGCATGTTCCTGTTTTCGTTGGCCTAGACACGCAAAAGACGGCTTGTTCATCTTTATGCGTGTATACACACAAAACAGAAATATATATACACGCATATAATCATTTATACATACACACACATACCTATACGTATACGTACATGCGAGCGCACGCACACACATGTGCGCCGTATGTGTATTGAGGTAAACTTGCTTGATCGCACCACACCGACACGTTACGGCAAGTTCGATTTGCATGCGCTGACGGTTCTGTGCTTGCACGGACCTGCAATTTCGGGCTGCCTCTCTGAGGGATTTCCTGCCGCATGTGGATGGAACATTTTGTTGTACTTTTCAGAGGGACCCCTCGGGGGGAGGGGGACTGTATGCTGTCACCTACCACAGACAGCGGGAATCCGAATCCTAGATCCCTAAGTCTGCACCTCGAGCATGTTGCGGTGCAAAGGTGCTGTACCAATCGTTTTCGCCGCTTTGTGGCCCGTGCGATCCGCCTGACAACACGGAGCTGCTGTTGGGCTTGTAAGGGAGGTTGAGGCAATTGATTTGCGGTTACAGTCTTTCTCGAAGCACAATGCCTTGTATGAAAACCCCCTGAAGTCGGTTTGTGAGGAGCTGCTGAATGGCACGCTGGTCACCGGAATCGGTGCTCGCTACAACAAGACCGGACCCCAGGCCGTGTGATTTCTTGGGACTGCTTCAGATAATCCATTCTAAATTCATCGTTTAGCTTGATGCCGGGCTGCTGTCGCCCGCAAGAACTCCCATGGCATGTTCCTGCGGTGCTACTGTTCTTTTGCACGCCCCCTGTGGCAGGAGTATGATTTGCACCAAGGTCGCTTGTTTTTGCTCTAGGACCGCCAGCTTGCCAACGAAACAAGTCTTTGGCGCGAATGTCTCGGTAAACCCTCACCCTTCATGTGACAACATCGCCAGTGCAAGCTCAAGCGTGTGCGTTTCCCGTCGCAGGTGGCGCTGCGATGGCTGGTGCAACAGGGGATCCCAGTTCCTAGACTCAGACTCAAGAGCGACAGGAGCGTGATGAACTTCGGCGTAGGTAGCTATGTTCACATCTGAGAATGAATACAAAATCAACGTTGTTGTCTTGATAGTGCTGCGACCAACGATACCACCTCATCAGCATGTTCAGCACCACGCGGTCGCGACTGAGCCCTTTAGTTCTCGTCATGGATACCGAGGTTATCCCCAAGAGCCATGTCGCCTCGCACCAGAAGGAAAATGCCGACATCTTCGACTTCAACTTGAAGGAGGGTCCTGGTAGTTTGTTCCTGAGACTGTGGATACACCCTATCTTTCGGGCTAGTTACTGTACCAGGCTATCTGTCATACGCAGATGAATTGTGCACATACTTCCGCACTAGCCATTCTATAGGTTTGTTGTCATGTTTTGCTCTAGTGGTGAACCTGCATTTAGGAGCCCTCTGGAGGTTTCCTGTCCACTGGGTTTCCAAAGCCACGCGTGGCAGTTTTACTACATTCCAGCTTTTCCTTGATGAAGGTTTGCATGGAATGCTGTGCACCAGATTCTCAATCATGTTTGTTAATTAATTAACCTGCAAGGATCTGGGAAAGCTATCGTATAGCGACAGCCTTGGATATCTCCCATGCCCCCCTAGGCCGAGATGGCAGCACGGCAGTACGCAGTGTGAGTACCGCAAACGTCTTCAAACCCCGGCAGCATACGGCCTGGCCTGCTAAAACTTCCGAGGAGCAAGACATGGCCATGCTCACTGCAGCCAAGCGCCCAGCAGTTGGAGGTGGGCCGTCCCCGCAGGACACCCGGATCATCCGTTGTTCTATGGACGCATAACAACGCCGTTTTGCACGCGTGCAGGCGACGTTCATACCAGGTACAGTAAGCCCCCAGCCTTGGATCCTTAAAGCTTGCGCAAATCGACAGGACAGCGGCGACTGTGGCATCCTTGACGAGGACGCTGGATTTGACGGGCTTCTTGCAGGATGCATGTCTGGTGAGCTTATCAACACCTGCTGCCACAAGATTTCATCTTTTTGTGGCCTGAGCCCGGTGTGGCGCATCTGTGTTTCAGGTCTTGCTAGCTGCCAGCTTGCACCCGTGGCACGATTCATAGACCGAACTCGACTTCATGACTTCATGAAGCACTCAGTTCCGAACGCTCTCCGATGCACTATATTATATAACATATGTATATGCATGTATGTACATGTAAAGATACACATAATAGTTTATGTTCGTGCATATGTATATATATATATATATGTATGCATACATACATACATACACACACACACATATATATATATATATATATACATACATACATACACACACATATATATATATATATATGTCCATGTACCTTTGCGTCTGTATTGTCTAGGTGCATGTCCATGTCCATGCCTGCATAATTCTTCGTGCATCTTTGAAAACAACCCCAAACCGGCTTCCCTGCAGGAGAATTTGGTCGTGGTGTGAACAGTTTCACTCACATCCCTGAGAGCGCATGCCGTTCCAAGGGCCTACATGTAGGTAGGACAGGACCGACCCCCACCCCCAGAACAGAAAGGAAGGAAGAGCGTCGGCTATACTCCATGTTGCACTCCTCATGTCTACATGTTGTGATGGCTTGAAGTATCACGCAGATGTGAAGAGAAACCGCAGCTTCGGAGCCCAGTATCTCGAAGTAGCGGTCGGCTTGCGAATCCTCGTTGACTTGCCGCGAGTTTGGCGCAGTTGGTGCCGGATATCGGTGGCAAAAGCGGCCCTGGGGCAAACTTCTCACGAGTTCGCATCTCAAAGGCCCAGAGTTTCGTTGAACCTAAATTCTGTTTGAACGGATGACCTGTGGACTGGAGGTAGCCGTGTCAAACTGCTCCTGAGCCCTCAAGACGCCTTCCAAATATTCAACCTCAAATCTGAAAAGGCTTTCAGGGCAGGGAACCATTCTTGAGCCTCGAAGCTTTAATCTCTTTCTCCGAACTTTGAGATTCCAAGTCCTGTGCTTCTAGAGTTTGGCCCAACAACTTTGCAGGCACCGGTGGCGAAGCCTTGAATCCACGCCCAAAAGTCCATGAGCAAAGAAAGCAAAGCCAAAGCTCCTTCCAAACTCCTCCCGTGCCGCGCAGGCTCTTGATTGAGTCTTTGTTGAATTGTTTGAATTATTCTTCCGTGCTTCACGGTTTCCGGTTATAGTGTATAGTGAAAGAGAACCCTTTGCTCGTTGCTCGGGTTGCGGGGGCTGTGTTCGACCCCGAAACATCATAACGGAGGAGTGCAAAGCCAAAGCCGCGGCCGCGGCACTGCTCCAGCGCCACATGCCTGCAAGAGTTTTGGCTAAGTACCGACCCCATCCTACAAAAGCCTCTCCTGCAACAGAACCTCAGGCTCGAAACCCAAAACGGCTGTTGGGGCTTTCTGCATTACAGAGTTTGTTTGTTCTGCCAACTGCTTTATAGAATCAACCCCTAACGCCCCTGGTGCTCGCATAAGGCCCCGAGCCCAACCCTGACTTCCTGACGGTGCTAACTCCTTCCACTTCCAAGCTTTCGACAGCGCCATATTCTCGCAAAATTTGTGACACCTTGTCGACTGAGTATGGGGAGTTCAGTTCATGACCCAGGCTGTGACTTGAACACATTCTACTCAACTCACTTGGTCCAGCTGCTGCTTCAGATCGTGCACTGTTAGTCCATCGGCTTCCCTGTTCTCATTCGCAGAGGATTTGAACTTCAACTTAGACGTCCTATAGCGTATATGAAGCTTCTGCACAGAATTTCATTCGTGGCGCTTCGATATCTCGAAACCTAGATCCCATATAGTTCATGGAAAGTTTCAAGCGTGTCGTATGACCCTAGAACGCATGGGCATTTGATGCACAATGCCGAGGGGCCTGATGCCGCAGCGAAGCCAATCGCTCTTCGCGCCCCGAGCGAGCTCGGTTCTAAGTCCAGGGTACGGATCCTTGGATTTCGCCGAAAGCCTGGCCAAATGTTGCCGTTGTCTACAAACTGGGGTCGTCAACATGCCAACCTAATGCTGTTTCTTCAGATCCAGCAACGCTTTGGCTTAAGCTGGGCATGGCAATTTCATCCGCACATAGACTAACATAGCTCTCTTCACAGAGTCGCATGGGGAGAGGTGACCTGTCGACGATTAATTGGGCTAGACTTGCTCATAGGCTGGCACCCTTCTTGCAAAAGGTGCGGTGGAGACGTTCAGGAGCTTACATCAAGTCCGGTACAGTCCGTTCTTTAGAAAATTGAAATGGTTGTCGGGCACAAGGTCCAACAGTCACAGCAGGCGAGACTCAGATAACGCATGACAAGCGGGCATGACAAGACGGGCTTTTGCGTAGGTGAAAGGTCCGGCTGGAGAAACTACAAGATATGGTTCAGTTTACTCCGGCGGGCTGCGATGGTCCGGAAATGAGACGGTGTTCCCGAAAAGGCAAGCTCCTCAAACCGACGCTTTGCAAAGCCACCATGCCTAACCGAGAGAGGCGATCGCTACCATGTCTTGGGGGATGGACCCAGTCAGGCAGCACCTGGGTGGGGTTCGAGATTGAACTCACGAGCGGCTCGGGGGTAACCATTGGGGTGTATTTCATATGTAGGGATGCACTTGAAGACGGAAGGCCGTGCAAGGGTGACAGCGTCCAGGCTTTCGCAGCTTTGGATTTGTCTTGAGTCTTGCTTCTTCATGGATGCTTTGGGCAAGGGTTGGAGCTCAAGACATGCGTCTGGGCGGTTTGCACGGAGGCTTCAGAGCCTTGTACTAGTTGCAGGTGTCGGAACTGAGCGCGTGGTCCTCGATCCTTGAAGTAGTTGCGGAAAGGTCTTTGCTGGCATGTCTCGGCCCTGACACTCTTTATTCGGACTGTACTATGCAGAAAGCACAGGCTTCAATGTACATCATAGAGATATCGACGCGCGGATCGAATCAGTGTCTCTGGTTCCGACAGGTTTTCGTTTAACTAACAAGTAATTAACAGATGAACTGCATACACAGAGGCAGGATTCGGCTCGGTGTGGGCCGTCGTTTGTCTCACCTTCTTGTGCCATGGCTGAGAACCATGTGGACCCCCGCAAAATCAAAAAGATGCTTGGCTCCGATCATGTAGAGCGCTGAGCACATATTGTACCAGCGCATATTATACTATAGTACTTATGTTTATATTGTATTATAAATTGTTTATGATCAGTATGGAGTTTCAGAATATTATACAATGACCTCTTGGATGTCTACTAGAGTGGCGAAGTCAAGATGGCAGGAGACGGGGTCGGGGAACAGATAAGAGCGCAGACCTTCAGCCCCGCCAAGCATCGGACTCTTGGTTTCGGGTACAAAACAGGCATGGACTGTAAGGAGGAAATGTCTGCAAACTCCAAACCTCGCCCTTTCAAGGAATGCCGACAGCAAATACATCGAGGCCCTCAATGATGTGCGGCTGGAAGGGTCCAATGAGGCCGCTTGACATTACAAAGCGGAGGAAGAAGGCTTTGAAGTGCTTCGATAGACTGTGCAAGTAAAAACCACGATTCCTTAGACTTGCAAGCCACAGTCCCAGCTAGAAGCCGCAGACCATGTCACTGCTGTTTTCCGAGAGTTTCCCAATCTCCAGGTGCCCCGAACCTTGATCAAATTGACTTTGAGGGCGTGTACTTCGTCCTCCGTGGCCTAGGGA